TCAAATATCATTTACCTTTTTTTTTTCATTTTAATTTTTTACGGTCTTATACGATCGGACATATTTTTTATTTTTATTTTTCAGTTTCGAATCGGGGATAAATAATTTTTCGTCGAAAATTATAATCGGATAAATCGAATATCACTTTTTTCTCCTCAAATTTTATTAAAACAAAACCACCCCTAAATCAATGAACAGTTATGTGACTGGTCCAAAGTGGATTGTGCAAGTATCACCTTAANNNNTTTTTTTTTTTTTTTTGGTCTTAACCTAAATTAATTTGCCATACATTCATTTAACAGCAATGAACCTTGATGCATAATTTTTAGTTATGAAGGCATTAAATACCTTTGCATTATCTAGTCAATACCAATCTCTTTTATGACACAAACTATAGGGAAATGGGTTTTGCAACCGTTGGATCATAATGTAGCCGTTGGGGATAGTTAATCTAACGATTACAAACTCTGACGGAATGCGTATGTAACGGGACCTTAGCATCTCCCCAAACCATTGCAGTTGTATCTTGCTTACAACTAATAATTAACAAGCTCTCAAGATTTTCTAATGTTAGCCTCATTTTCATTATTATTATTATTGGTAGTAAATTTTGGCTACACAAGCTTATTACAAACTTAAAGCAACATAAGACAACAGAAACAAAATAAAAAAAGAACAATTTGCAGTACTTATTACATAACATAATTGCATTATATCTCAATGCCATGGAATCATCAAGTGTTCAATGAAACTTGAATAGAAGTAGCCAATGAAACTGTTATGGGCTTTCTGAATAAACCGGCATGGGCTACATTTAGCCGATCGAGACTCTGGATAAATGAGGCCGAGCCCAGGCCCAAGCCAAGAGCCAAATTACCCAAATCCTCCCCGTGCATGCCCATCTGCCTGGCCCAAAGTGAAAAAATCTACAGCCTAATTCCTGCTTCTCGTCAAACGACTCGAGTCTCGTGGGTCTAAATCTCTCCGGGTCGACCCGTTACCTATATATTCGGGCTTGTGATGGATCTCCCATATTTCTTGTTTCATGTGTACTAAGTCCATGTTCTTTTCTTTATAAATAATTGTTTGTTAAATAGCGGATCATATAACTATTTATAAAATTTCGTGTTGATATGTTTATCTTGCGAACCCACTTTTCTGAAAACTCACTTATGGTGAGCTTTTTTCACAATCAACGTTTTTGGCTCAAGAAGTTAATCAATTAAGTTTTTTACCAAATAATTTAATTGGCTGACTGCGACAGATCAAGCATTTAAATGAGCTTTCAGTCCACTAATTTTACGTCAATCATCTAACATCCAAACATGGAAAAAGATTCTCGAATGAAAATTGAAGGCGTAGGGGAAAAAATGTGTCGTATTTATTTGGGTCGAATGGTGCCTAATAGTCGATAGATGTCCTTGGTTCGTGCTTCGTTTCTCAAGTAGAAAAACTTAGTTGAAGGGCGACAAATCGTAACACACGAACGCTTTCTTTCCTTTTATACATGACGAGCCTCGTGTAATTTACGTTATGCCATTTTCTGTTCGAGTGGTTGTTTACCGAATTTCACGATTCAACTCAATTTTTTAATTTTCTCTCAATTTTTTTATACATTTGTACTTAATTTAAAAACAATAAATAAATAAGAAAATAAACTAAACCAAACCGTACCGATGCAACCAAAAGGCATATATATAAAAAAATCCACATTAAATAACCGACCCGACCCAATTCAAAGTTCGACTCAATTTTTTCTGAACCAAAAAGTGTATCCAAACTGGAGGAGACATTAGTGATTAGACCAAAGCATTTTCAAAACGTACATGAAAAATTCAATCGACCATGCTTTTACAAAAACCAAGATTGGTTAGCATGGAGATTTTACCAAAAAAATAAATAAAATAAAATAAAATGTATTAACAAAAATGAATTTAAACCTCCTTATTCCATTATCACTATTCATAAATCATAATTTAATATTTATTATCCACTCAATTTTTAAATAGAAAAAGGAGATGATAAAAAAAAAAATGATTAATTACTGGGCACTGTGATTCTTCGAACCGGTGAACGGGTTAACTCCAGGTATCAAACCGGCCGGGTCGTAGTTGCACACCACGTAAACCCCCTTTTGGTGGTCGCAGTAAACCGCCCCGCTGCACCCAACCCGCCGGGTCGTGCTCCAAATCACGCTCAGGTAGTGCCC